GAATAATTTAAAAAACATTCAACGTTAGTCAATAAAATTTCAGTTGCGTCATAAATTTATGCTGCCAGCGACGCGCTCTAGGCTCTTTATGCAACGCTACACTAAAAATATCTGAAGTGGCTTTTCCTTGTAGAAAAGGGAAATTTCATTATCCTACACAACAAAAGCTACAACTCTTTAAAAAAACGCAATTTAACAGGCAAATTATAATTTAAAAAGCTCCAAGTTGCAAATAAAAATGAGAACTGGAAGAAAATGTTGAATGGCACGATGTTTGAATCAAAGTTGTATATAAAAGTTAAAAGGACCTGGAAAACCTCACAACTTGTCAAAAACCGAGGACTTTAAAAACATGGGGCTAACGGGCTAACCATGGTACTTTACAGCTGCAAACCACCACTGTGCTAACAGAACCAATAACATTTATTAGCCTTCGGCGTAACTACGAGGGAAAGCTTTTCAACGAAAAAGTTTAGTCAACTCTGCCATAAAGTCCATTACAACCTAATCAGCACATTTCATGCTAGCACGACCAGCTAACGAACGTTCCAACCACTGCAAACTAACGCAACGTTCAAGAACGAAGACAAATAACTAATCAACTGCAATTGATGAGGGAAGAAAGATAAAAAAAAAAATAAAAAATTCTGCGTCGAGTCAACTGTGCACTTTAGTAGATTACAATCAGAATATTTCACTTTAGCATGTCCGGCTAACGAACATTCCAACTGCAGATGTACACATCGTTACTTTAACAATCGTGACAACTGATCAACTGAATATTAGGGATGAAGAGGGGATTTTTGTCGTACTTATTTATTTTTAGTCTCTACCGAGATGACTGACGTAGATTAAAATCTAATTACCGGTAAGTTTTTCACGTTAGCATGTTCAGCTAATGAATGTTTGTTCCATCCAACAAATATTCCTACAACTAAAATGTTGCTTCTTTTGAAATCTTAATCATCTCATCAATATATTTTTAAAAGTTATATATATATATATATATATATATATATATATATATATATATATATATATATATAAAACTATCTTTACACACATAAAATCCTGTTATAGTGATGCCTTTTTTTTTTACACTTGTGTTGTAGAGCTGTTGCAGATGTTTTGTCTGACAGCTCTTTTTTTTTAATTTCTCAACCATTGTTGTTTCTTCACAGTGAAATTCTTTGAGGTGGACAAACTTGTTCCTCTGAAGGATCACTGGGCCGTTACCATTTTCGTTCAGGAAACATCTCACCACCAACAGATACAGGTTCAAGATGAGCAACCGTTCCATTCAGTAGATACTCAGCTGTGAAACATATCACTGCTTTGATGGAAATGTGACCAATATTTGTAGTTAAGGGAAGTAAAAAAAAAAACAAAAGCTAACAACATAAAGCAAAATTGTGAAAAATGAACACGTCATCTAGTGAAGCACTTTGGTGCATCTGCTCATAAACAGAGTATACGACTCATGCGTTCATTCACAAATATTTCTGTTATACATCAAACCAACTGTCAAATAAATCATAAAACAATCCGAATGTTTTATGCTTAGATCATTCTTAAAAATATTCTCTCTCTAGACAAATCCTCTGCTTGGCATTTCTCATTTAACGATCTAATGACTTGTAATGTGACGAGTGTTTTTGGCTTTAATCAAGCCAAAAAGAAGGGAAAAATAAAATAAAAAAAAAGAATATGGCCATAAGGTACATTTAAAAAAACAACAAAACAGCACCTTTGTGTATCGATTTCAACGTTTGAGTAAAGTAAAATATATCGACATATAAGAATTATAACATGGTCGTTCTTAAATATGAAAAAGCATAATGGTACAGTAGGTGTGCAAATCTGAAACATCTGCGGCATAAAAGCAAACAGGAAAGGCCAATTTAAAGGGATACCTCGTTGTTTTACTTTTACCGTTAAGCAATATAGAAACAACGTTGGTACCAAAACCCCACCTCACCACTACTCTGAATATTTTAAAATTATCTCCGTTTATTTAAAATAGTGTTTGTCCATGATTTAACAAAAAGGCTGAAATGCCATTTCACACCACTAGGTGGCAAGAGCGTCCAAGATAACAGAAAGAAGATAATCTTCCGTAACAATTGTGGGTTGTTCTTCCGTTCGATAAAGTTTACACTTAAAGTTATTAACCTTTACGACAAAATGAGCTCGATATAAGAAAAAGGTTGTTTTCTAGGGCCAAAGGGGCTGCTACATCATCGTTTTTACAAAGCTGCGTATTTAAAGTCCACACTGATGCACCAGAACAGTCTGTTAAAATCACTGGAGCACATTTTAAAAATCAACATTTTTTGTCACAACCGTCTTTTGCACGTGGACGGCAGGCGCCAACTACGGGCGAACGGCAAAACGTATGTTTGGCTGCATCACAGAAGATTCCAAATCAACTTTTAAACGTCAAGAATGGATTCTAGTATTTTGTTACGACTTTAAGAGAAAAAGCCGAGATGTTGCTGTCCGGTGTCGTTTGTCCCAGCAGAGTTGCCGTAGCTTCTTGTAGTATAAACATGATGCAATCATGTGGCTCTCAGCTTTTTTCTTTTGTCTTTACGTCACTGAAGCCTAAAGATGGATAAGCCGGTGTTTCCCCCAGTTCACTTGCCTTGGCAGGGCGCTCATATCTTCAGTGACTTTTGTTGACGGGGCTGGGTGGGTGTGGAGACGGAGACACGTCTGCTGCTACGCGCTGTTTGTACTGACAGTTTTCGAGGTGGGTGGTGTAGATGGGGGTTTGGCTGGTGGAGACGGCTCAGCGTGAGGGAAACAGAGCGCCATCTCCGTAGATTTTCAGTTAGCGTGTCGGTATTGAGCGTGGCGAGCTTAGCGCTACGTCAGTGCCGGCAGTTATCTACAGGGGTGGGGGCAGTTCGGTAGGTGGGGCGCCCTGCTTGTATAATGGTGGGGGTGGGGGGGGGGGAACACTGGGTAAGCAATGGCTGAATTTATGGCAGCACGAATATAAAGGACTTTGAAACATGCTAACTGGTGTTAGCTTTTCAATGGAAGGCTCCAATTAAAAGTTAGCATCGGCTTTAATGTTGGTTAGCAATAGAATTTATGTAATTTGTTTTACTTTATTAAAGACGCGCAGATCTATAGTGACGGGGAAAACGGGATGATCTTGTGTGCTTTTCATTTTGTACGGACCCATATAATTTAAGTTTCAACATAAGCATCAAAGCCTGAGGAGCGAGCGCAGCAGAAAATCTCAGTCTATAAAAATAATCAGAGTAGAATGGACGGGGCTTTAAAACGAAAAAAATAAACACATTCTTTGGTGAACACTAAGTTTTCATTCAAGTCTTTATGATAAATATAAAACAAATGTAAAAAAGCCAATCATACTGACTGAAATTAGATTTTCATACGCTGAAAATCGACTTGTACCCTCAAAGCAGAACTACATTAATTCAGCCTAGCTGACATTGTTGATTAGCAAAGACTGTTAACGTTACGGTTTTACCAACTCCACCTTTAATGTCATAAACGTTGTGTTCCTCCACGCAGCGCTGCGTACATCAGACGAGCTTCTCTACAGCTCAGCGGCAGTTTCAAACCGTCGTGGCGGATGAAGCGGGGTGCGCAGCGGCTACGGCGTCGAGACCGAACAAGTTATAAAACGTGTTTAAAGGCAGACGACGACTTCGGGGCGAGCGGACCATAAAACTGTAGTTTGTTCGGTCTTCAGAGCTACAGAGAAAATATTAATTAATTAATATTAATTAATACATGTTATTTGTCAACCTGGAAGTGGCACTTTAAGTTTAAACTTAAGATTTTGTATTTTTTTTAAATTTGAAATAAAATTAACCAAAACAAAAACTTTACGTGAACTGTCAGATGGATTAATCAATAATTAATTAATTGATAAAAATAATTAACTGTCCCTCTTGTTCAAAACTGAAGCCATAACGTCTGTTCTGTCTGAAGTGGAGGTGGTCGATACTAAAGCCCCGCCCACATACCCTCCCCACTCGCTAACTGTCAATCAAAGTTGACATTTTTCTTACAGTCTTCATTAACTCACTGAAGCTAAACGTTTAAGAAAAATTATCTGAACAAACAGCAGCGCAGTGAGAAACGATGCGAGGTGTTTTTATTCCTTTAGTCAGGCCAATTTTAATTCACGTACATGGAGGGGCGGGGCTTAAAACCTGCACTGCAGCTGGCAAGTTCTGGTCCTCAATCCTGGTCCCCAAGGGCCACCACCCACCCTGCATGCTTTTGGAGGTTTCTCTGCTCCAACACACCTGATTTTAATCAACAGGCTTCTGAACATGAAGCGGTTCAATCGTTGGATCAGGTGCGTTGCAGCAGGGAACAAGTAAAACCTGTGAGTGGTCTTCAAGGACCAGGATTTAACACCCCTAATATGAAACGTGCATGACAGTGGCCCTCGAGGACCAAGAGTGGACACCACCAGTGTAACCTGAGGGGCAGCCCATTTTTTATTTGTTGCATTTTCCAACAAATAAAGATGAATTTGAAGCAAATCAGTAACATCATCAATATCTTTTAGTCCAGTTTTTTTTTACAGTGATAAGATATTTCTATTCTTGCTTGTAAAGATAAAACCTGCAAACTGCTTCACTTCCTGTTTGTGTGACGGGAAGCGTTTTACAGAAACGTGTTTTTGTTTGGAGCCGTCGGAGGGGAAAACTGAGGTAGTTGAACCGTTTGAGCTACATGTCGGATACGAACAGTGGCGACAGCGAACAATGCAGACCAGTGGTGAGCCCAACTGGAGGTTCAGGTGCTGAACTGAAGGAGATCAAAATAAAAAAACATGGAGGTATCCCTTTAAGCGATGTATTTGAAGCCGGCGATGAGGCGCATCGCGGGCCCCTTAAGGCACGTGTGTGTAAGTTCATTTATTTTCAGCTAACAAGCAGGACTACAGGAGCGCGTCGCCTAACAAGCTAGCAACGTGAAGACCGAGCTTTCCGTTCAGAGCCCTAGATTACATTTAAACACTTTATCAGAAAATATTTATACCTCTACAGAAGTAGAGTGGAATTTAAAAATGATACTAGCAGACTACAGTACGCTCTGGATGCTGTTTCATGACGTGTGGATGCATAGCATCACCCGTAGATGAGATCTCATTCTGACGAGGATCTTCTTCAACGTTTCTGCGGAACGCTGAATAACGAAGCCGTAGTGTTGTGGAGGGTCGTGGAGGGTCGTGGAGGGCCGTGGAGGGTCGTGGAGGGTCGTGGAGGGTCGTGGAGGGTCGTGGCAGTGTTCGTTACAAACTCCGGGTCACTCCTGGTTCTTTAGTTCCCACCCAACAGAGAAGAGGACGGGAAATGATTGTCAGGAGTCGCTGCGTTGATGCTTTCCATCCATCGAAAAACCAACGAATGAGCGGAAATGACGAGAGCAAAGCGTGATGTCAGGAGTTATCGAACAACGTTCCTGCTTTGCCGGTTAGCGGTCCCGTGGTGGACCCGTCCAGGGTCCTGGTCTTAAATCCTAAAACCTGAACAGATGCTAAAAACAGTGCGTGTCGGCATTCGAGGGCCCGGCTCCCGTCAGCTCTAGAGGACCAGAACACAGAGCCGGATCTCTCTCCTCCAACTTCTGAAGTTTATTGACTGTCTGCTCCTCCTCCTTCACCTCCACGGTGCCTCCTCCCTCCTTGGCCCCGAGCCTCTGGGTTGCGGACTCTGACGGAGGAAATTTACCGAACCTCGTCCCGTTCAGGTCTTCCTCCAGTTTCACCTGGAAGGGCGGCAGGCCGAGCAGAAAGGCCCGGATCCTGCTGGGGGAACTGAGGTCCGCGGGTTCCTCCTGGCTCCTCAGCTCCACGTTTGACCCTCCGGCTCTGACTCCAGAGCTGGACAGCCCCCCCAGGCTGAAATCCTGTGCCTGTTCCTGGAAGCTGGGTCTGTGGTTCTTGGCCCCCGGTGGGTCTGTGATCCCATTGACGGACTGCCGGCTCGGCTCCGGCCCGTCTGTGCTGGTTCTTTTGGGCGCGAAGCGTTTGCTGAGGTTGAGGGGCAGAGCCTGCTCGGGGGGAGGGGTGATGGGGGGGCAGGCAGGCTTGATGCTCAGGTCCTGGGACAGGGCCTCGGAGAGACGGCGGGTGAAGGACTGCAGCTGAGACGAGTCCAGATGGTGAGTCCTCATCAGCTGGCTCACCTGGACGTCGCAGTCCAGGTTCAGAGGCAGGACCCGGAGGGGGGGCAGGGGAGGTCGGCTCCGGGGGTCCCGGCCGGCCCCTCTCGCCCCCCCCTCCTCCGTGCTGCACCCCGAGCAGTGGTTCTGGTGCTGGTGGAGCAGATGAGGCTGGAGCTGGTCCGTGCTGGGATGAGGGGGGTCGGGGCTTCCACTCTTGGGTTGGAGGGTGTAGATGGCCGGGTGGCGCTGCGTCGGGACTTGGGGGGTCAGGGCCGGACTGTCGGGGGCCCTCTGAAGGCTGACGCGGTTCCTGAAGACATCCAGAGGACAAACGCCTTTGATGGGGCTGAAACCGCCGACAAAACGAGGCAAAGCGGAGAGGAGCACCGTGGAGGAGGGAGCCGCCGACTCCCCTCGGTCCGGTTTCAGCTCCTTGGGTTTGGTCTGGAAGGAGAACGGGGGGGGGGGACATGGGGGACAGGTCGGGGGTGAGGGGCAGGCTCAAAGGCAGGATGGCCGGCTGGATGGGCTGCAGGAAAAACAAAGATCACAGATCAGAACGTGAGACATGAACAGAACCGCGTACGATTCCTCCTCTTAGTGTAGGAGCGCTCGCAGCTGGAGCTTTACCCGGTGCGCGCCTCCTCTGCTCAGCACGCCTCCTCTGCTCAGCACGCCTCCTCTGCTCAGCACGCCTCCTCTGCTCAGCACGCCTCCTCTGCTCACCACGCCTCCTCTGCCTTTAGCTGGAAGCAAGGGGATCGGCTGCTGCGTCTCGGCTGCTGGGACTTTGTCTTCAGCTTGTTGCTGGGCCAGAAGTTTGGCCTGAGCCACCAGGGTGGACTTGTTTCGAGTGCCCGGCGGGCGCCCTCTGCCTCGTTTCACCACGACGGGTCCGTTTGGGTTCACAGACTGTCCAGAACCGTCCACGATCTGTCCAGAACCGTCCACGATCTGTCCAAAAGCAGAGTTTTAAGATTTTATCCGTTTCGTTAAATTATTTTTGCAGTAAAAGTTTTATTTTAAACTTTCTACACAGAAAAGTGTTCCACAATAAAAGCACAAACATCATCATGAATTGAGTAATCATATTCAGGTGCGGTTCGGTTCTGCCCAGCAGGTCGTCCAGTTCATTTTATTGTGAATTTGAGGCGTTTGTTCCACCTGGACCAGAACCAGCCGAGCTGCGTGAAGTGATGAACACCACGGTACTCACAGTGGGAGGAGGAAGAGCGGGCGGTGCGGGCAGCACCTTCTTCTCTTTGGGTTTCGGACCGGGCTTCCTGCCTCGGTGAAGAGGTTTCCGTCCTCGTATCCCTCTGGGTCTCGGTGGAACCGGGGACTCCGGGATTTTGAACTCGGCTCCTCCGGCTCTGAGGTGCTCTTCGTACGGCAGCAGCAGCCTGAGACATTGAAAACAGATTTACTGAGTCTGCTGCTACACGAGGGTCCGACGTGAGCCGGGTCGAGGTTTTGTTTGCATTCGTGGTGGAATTGTCCGTTTTTGTTTGTTTTTGTTTGTGTTTGTGGGTTTGCCGAGTTTTGTCCAGACCTCTCGTAGTGTCTCCTGGTGCAGGTCGCAGCGCTGGTGCTGCCGGGACATCCTCCCAGCTCGTTATAAACCACCTTCCACAGCCGGTCCACGGTCACCTGCACCACACAGACGCCACTCTGAACTCAGACTTCCTTAAACTTTTCTAAATTAAAGTCCAACTCATATTTTAGTTTGTAATTTGTTTTGTTTTGATCTTAACTAATGAGAGATAACCTGCTACATAAAAACGATAAAACTCCACAGTTTTGTTCCAAGGCTCAGATGAAAATAATTTTCTTCCATTTTAATTATTTTTAAATAGTGAACGACAGAAACGGACCTTTTTGTATCCTCCGAGCCGTCTGACCGCGGAGTACATGAGGAAGAGGTCAACTGTTGGAACAAGCAGCGCAGACGAGAACAAAAACATGAGTTCACATCAAAACACGTTTGTTCTTCACAGAACGGTTCAAGTGCTGGAGACCGATGTGACGAGGATCTTACTTAAAACGTTTGTCCTCGTTACAGAGATAAATAAAAATAAATAAAACAGAACCACTTCTGCAGTTTAGTCTGTAGAGTCACGGAGGACTGAGAATCTGCTCCAGCATAAAATTAATCCCGCTGCTGGACGTAGTTATTCTTACAAATGTCAAAATAATCTGAGAAATTAAAAGTGGTGGGAATAAAAACAATTAAATAATCATGGAAGGTTGATGAAGCAAGTAAAAAAATATAAAAGAAAATTATGAAACCAAAACTAAAACAATAATGTATAAATCAATCAAAAAGAATGGAAAAATTAATTATAGCACAAGATTCCCCAAATAAAGAGTCAAAAAGGAAAAATCTAACTTTTAAATTCCACTTGGAAACATTAAAAATACTGAATTTAAAATAAACTAGAATAAAATAAAAATAAAAACTAGACCTAATTTAAAAAGAGGATAAAGGCTCGAGGAGTGCTCACTCTTCTTGAAGCCCAGGTTGGGGACTTTGTGGATGGGCGCCCCGTGGTGCTCCATGAAGACGTAGAGCTGATCCAGGAACAGCTGCTCCTCGGGGTGGGGGAGCCAGCTGCCCTCGCAGCCCACCTCCACGCTGCCCATCACGTTCTCCTGCAGACGAGGAACACGCCACCTTTAGATCAAACTGCTGCTGATTCAAACGCTTCCTGATTTTAATCCCACGGGTTTGAGCAGAATTCAACTCCGATGATGAATTCATCGTTCGCTCCTCAGAACGACAACGTGTCACTTCCCGTTTTAATTAAAAGACTGAAACCTCGAGGAAACAAGCGGAGGACGTAACGAACAGTTCCAGTTAGTTTGAGGAGGTTCTCAACGTCTAAATTCATAAAGGAACAGAATCGGCAGGACTCCGGTGCACCGACCTTCATCCTGTCGATCCAGGACTCTGACTGGCTGGAGGTCGGCGAGTCTCGGCTGTCGCGGCTTCTCCTCTTGCGAGGTCGTCCCCGAAGACTGAGAGACGGACACCCTGTGGGGAACAGATTAAAAACATAAACGAGAGAGCTGCAGAGCTCAGAGAGTCCAGCAGGGGGCAGTAAAACCAAGGATGAGGAGTTTTCATGCAGAAAAACTGCTTTATAAACAAATGTCAAGGAGAGGCTGGCACGAGGCAGCTCAGTAAAATAATTTAATCCCATCGAGTCCTGATGAGCTCAATCTGGAGGATTCTGTGGATTCAGAGTCGCTTTGAGGACAAAAAAGACTGAAATGATCTGATTATTAACACAAGCAGAGTCTTAGTCTGAGCAGTTTTATTTATAAAGGTTGGTGGAGGTCGGAATGTGTCCTCGTGGGTTGTAGAACTACTAGACTAAACTGGGATCAAACTGGGATTAATGGACTCGTATCAGCGTTTCACTCATCGATGAGTCGAGTTCAACTGAGATCTAAAGGTGCTCGATTCAGTTTGACAAACTGTCTCTCATATTTATTTTTTACTCATTCTTAGTTCGGAGAAGAGCTGAAACATAACCAGACTTAATAAAAACTAGAAAAAATAATTTTCTGCTCAAATAATGACCAAAAAAAAAAAAAAAAAGGTTTGTAAGCTCAATCCTCCAGGTAAATAACAACAACAAATGTTAACTTGTGTCATCTGGACCAAGTGAGAAACGTTTCTCACAGAGTGACGATGAGGGAGGACGGACGCACACACGGGTCCACGAGTGGTTTGTTTGTCCGAGACAAACCATTTCCATCTCGGACAAACAGATCTAGTCTCGAGGTTTTCTGATGGTCGACCAATAGAAATAGACTAAACAGATTAAAGTTCTCAGTCGACGCTGATTTCCGTCGTCTTTAAAAATGAACGGAGAATAAAAACGCGTTTTGTTAAAGCCGTCCAATCTGATGATCCAGGGATTAAACCGACGCTGCTTTCAGGGACGTCTGACGCTCAGCAGCTGGGAAACTCCCAGCAGTCCACAAGATGGCCGCCTGAGAACTTTTGTTTATAGTAAACTTTGTATAAAAGCAGCAAATTTATTAAAGTACATTTTTCTTGAGATTTTTTTGTCTTTATTGTAAAAGTTGTGACGACCAGATTCTGTCAGGGGGTTGTCTGTCGAACAACGTGAGCAACGTCCTCATGTCTACCCCCATGTGTGTGTGTGTGTGTGTGTGTGTGTGTGAGAGAGAAAGAACAGCAAAATGTTAGCTAAATGTAGCAAAAAATTAGCTAAATGCTAAAAACAGAAAATGGTAGGAAAAAAATAATTAGAAGCTAAAGGCTAACCAAATGGAGTAACGCCCTAGCTATAAGCTAAAAGTAGCCAAATGCTACTGAAAAGATAAAAGCAGAAAAACAACTAGCTAAAACGGAGCAAAGGGCTACCAGCTAAAAGAGCAAAAGTTTAGATAAATGTAGCAAAATCTTAAAGTTTAGTTCTAAAAGTTAAAAGTAGCAAAGTCTAAAATGATGAAGGGTTAGTTAAGAGCTAAGTTTTGTTGTTTTTTTTTTTGGCTAGAAATGCTAATAAAACAGAAAAGTATCAAAATGCCAGAAGAAGTTAAAAGTAGAAAAATCCAGCTTAATGCTAAACTAATGAAAAAGTTGGATAAAAGTTAAAAAGCAAATGTAGCAACGGGCTAGCTCAAAGCAAAAAGTGCCTGAAAACATTTGAAAAAATAAAACTTGAACGAAACAAAAGGCTCAGTAAAAGCTAAAAATAAAAGGCCAGCAAACACACAATGCCAGATAAAAAGAAAAGTAGAAAAAAAAGCTAAAAGGCTAGCCAAGCATTAGCTGAAAGTAGCAAAACACTAGCTAAAGTAACAAACAGCTGAAGAGCAGTAAAACACTAGCTGAAGCAGGAGACGGCAGCCGAACACTCACTGAACTGCCAGGAGAAGCAGGCGCTGCCCTCCAGCGCCGGGTTGTTGAACGTGTCCCTGCAGTACAAGACCCGGGCGTTGGGCAGAACCTTGATGCCCCCCAGGGCCAGCAGGTGGGGGTCCTGCAGCACGGCGCCCCTCGCTCCGTCCTGGATGCGTCTCTGCAGCGAGCGGAAGCGGCAGTACTGCGGGTAGCTGAGCACTTTGACCCCCGGGTGCTGCGGCGCGTCGTCTGAGGGTCAAAGAGACGGATGGATAAGAACCGGACCGACCCGACTCAAAAACAAGAACCGAACGTTTCAGCTCGCTGGTTGAACAGTTTTACCTCCTTCATTAATATCAAATTACCACGAAGATAAAGAACTGATTTAACTTCACGTGTTTTCAGCTTGTTTGAGCCGTTTCATCCAGAACTTCTCGTTAGTTTCTGGTCACATTTTGCTGAAAGCTGGAACACGGAGCAGCCGTCGAGCTGCAGCTTCCACCTCGTTCTGCAGAAACTAAGTCAAAGAACCGCGGTGGAACGTCTTCGTGTTGCTCCTCGTTTCAGTTTGTTCTTCTGACAGCAGCTGCAGCTCACACTGACTCGGCTCTTTCTGAAGACTTTCAGCTGTTTTAGCTGCTCAGACACTGAAACTCATCCTGGAGGTGGGTGTCTGGACTACAAGTATTTACACAAACAGGTTTTTAGCTAACATTCTGCTAATTACAACTGTTAGCCGGCTGTTTTGGCTACTACTGTGTTACTTTTGGCTAATATTGTTTCTTATAGGCTTTAAGAAAGCATTTTGATTTTTCCAGCTTTCAGCTACCACCCCGAAACTTTTAGCTTTTAGTTAGCCTTTTCTTACATTTAGCTATCATAGTGCTACTTTTAGCATTTAGCTAGTATATTTTCCTTAAAGGATAGTGTTAGCTTAGTAGTAGTAGTAGATAGTATTATGTATGTGAATGTTTCTGTAAAGTGCTCTGAGACAACTTTGTTGTGATTTGGCACTTTATAAATAAACTGAATTGAAATTGAATATTGGTTAGTATTTAGTTTTTTTCATCTTTTAGCTACCAAGCTGATACTTTTAGCTTGCCTTTTCATTTATTTAGCTACTATTCTGCTACTTTTAGCTATCCTTTTCATACATTTAGCTAGTATTCTGCTATTTTTATCTTTTAGACTTTAAATACGTCACATCTGTTGCTTTTAGCTCCTTGCTACATTCAGCTTGTAGCTGGTGTTTTACAACTTTTTGCTAACATTTAGCTGGCGTTGTTTCTTTTAGCCTCCATAAATTTCAGTGAGGTTTCAGGATTTGTATAAATTTAACTACATTAGTTAGTTTTTGGAACGTTCCTTTGATGTGAGAACATGTTCTCCATGTTTCCCTGCAGGTTAAAAACTGACAGGTTTTAAATCAGGGGGTTCTTCACCCTCAGTCTTGACTTCCAGGAGCATGTCTTTTTCCTCCAGTAGGTCTTGGGTGTTGTTGCTGCTGGGCGGGGGCCTGTGGAGCCCGTTGGTCCCGTCGGGCGGCAGCTTGGGGTTTCTGCTCCAATCTGTGGGTTCTGAACAGGACCATCGCACCAAGTCCTCGACCCGCACCACCATCTTCCTGGACACGGCCACAACCTCGTCCTGACAAAACACGAGACAAACACAACTGTAAAACTGCAGCTCTGAAAGAATCTGGGCCGTTAGTGTGTACAAATAAATATCTAATATTAAATATATCCTGATGCATGTTCAGTAATCCAGGTAGAAAAATCTAAAAATCTAAAAAAGTTAAATCAGGTCCTCTGGACGGATAAAAAACAAAACAAAAAAAACCTTGAAACGTTTCATCTTCAATCCAAAATACTTGTTCAGTCCGAGGAGCAGCTATAAACAGCACCTTCTCATCGAGGATCAACCAGTTTGTTGTTGACATCCAGAACTAGCTGTTCACATGATGGAGGACCATCAGCCCAACAATGGATCATTAGTACTCTGATGGCCGCTTGCTACTCACAGAGGGCTGAGTGATATTAGCAATAACAGCATTAGCTATAGCTATGTTTACATGCGCAAAATTCATTGATCGGATTTAAATGTTTTCAGATTAAATAATCCAAATGTATTGTTTAGATGGGCACAATCCGTTCACGACGAGCGTTTACCTGCAGTGGGCTTTTATTCAGAATAGAAGTACTGACATGCGTAGCGTGGTAAACCCTCCTTAAAAAAAACACAGAGGAAGTTCTACTTCTGTTTTACTTCAGTGATGAACGAATGACCGGGGATTGAGCCTGGGACCTTGGGGTCCCGGGTCGGCTGCCCTGCCCCTACACCATCTCAGCATGCACGCTGTTCAAATTATGAATCAGCATAAACTACCCCTCTCATTCAGATTACAAATTCATTTGGATCAAGCTGAATCAACAAAGAATAATCTGAATAGCCATTTAATCTGATTACTTATGTCCATGTAAACATAGCTAGTGTAAGAGGGGGACAGTTGAACCCGGAGGCTCCACCCCTGTTTAATGATGGACGGTTTCTTTTCACAAAGATGGCCTCCTTTACTCCTCTCTCAAACCATCGTTCCTCTCTGTCCAGGATGTGAACATCTTCATCCCTGAAAGAGTGACCGCTGGCCTGGAGATGAGTGTAGACCGCAGAGTCCTGGCCTGATGATGTTGATCTTCTGTGCTGGTCCATCCTTTTGGCCAGTGGCTGTTTTGTTTCCCCGATGTAAGACTGATCACCCTCCTGACACTGAACAACATACACAATATTACTCTGTTTGTGCCGGGGGACTGGATCTTTGGGATGAACCAGTCTTTGCCGTAATGTATTTTGGGGTTTAAAAGCCACTGGGACGTTATGTTTAGAAAATAAACGTCTCAGTTTCTCTGATACTCCCTCAACATATGGAATGACCACTGGTCTGGGTCTGGGTTCCTCCTTTTCACCTGATGGCTGACTGGAGTCCTGTTTGGGTTTCTTCTCTGCTTTCAGGAAGGCCCAGTTAGGATATCCACATTGCTCTAGAGCCTGTCTTGTGTAGGATTTCTCCTTCTGCCTGGCTCCTGAGCTAGTGGGGATGCTGTCTGCTCTGTGGTACAGAGTCCTGATGACTCCTAACTTGTGCTCCTGAGGGTGATGGGAGTCAAACTGGTCTGTGTGGGTGGGTTTGTGGTACACCTCAGTTTGCAAATGTCCTTTATCAGAAAGACAAAACATTTCAAGTTTTTTAATATTATTATTTAAATCCATCCTGAGGACCCGACGTAATGTTTTTGTATTAACTATAAATGTTTACCGGTAATTGAAATGTTGTTTCCCACCAATACAGAGTCTGACAGATGTTTTTATTCATTTACAAATTGTCTGGAAATATTAGTGTAGCCTTAATGTTGAATTTAAAGACAAACAGAAGTTTTTAAACTTATTTAGAGTAACAGATGAACCTCAAAGCACCTTTATTATTATTTGCCAGCCATGTTCTCATTTTCTGCAAAGAAATGGCAGAACCTTTCCCCGGTGGATAATAATTGGATGAAAGGAGCAGTAAACTCAGCCCTGCTGCTCAAACGCCACGGATGAACCATCGCTTAAAGTTTAAACGGGTCACAGAACGTTGGACTTCACACAAGAGAATGAAATTTAAGACAAAAAACTAGAAATACAGGCGATGGATCGAGCTGAGTTACAACCAGAACATGTGGAGACACGTTCAGGTTTAGTTTCGGTTTATTGAGTGATATTCAGCGCTCTCTGTTTCAACAGCTGGACGTACAGGTGCAGGCATTTCAACAGCTGGACGT